TAAATATATTTATGTCCTTAAGTATTTTAATTTTATGTTTTAATATAATTATCGTGGGGACATTACATTTATGGTATTATAGTAGGTCGAGTCTTAGGTTAACCTATTAGGAGTGAGTTTATTGTGCTTTTTTTTTGTCTAATTAATTAGATAGTACGCTATAATATAATAGTTTAGAAATTTTGGAGATTTAGTTTTTAACCGTTCCTTTGATTATGATATAGAATATATGCCTAAACCTCCTACTCACCCACATCCTTCATTGAAGATGAGTCAAAGAGCCAAAGCTGTTGAGATAATGGCTAATGCTATCCAACAATAGAATGTCATTATGGGTTAGTATCACCAAGCTTCTATGGAGTAGTGGCAAACCACTAGAACAATTGCAACAACTTTTTCCCCTAGTCAGCCTATAGAATAGTTGGTACTACCTAAGTTCATGAGGTTAGTCCTCCCATGTTCAATGACAATGCCACCCCAGACCAAACTAACAAATGGATTAGAGAGTTTGAGAATATTTTTAGAGTCACCATTTATCCTAAAATAAGAAGCTTTATTTTTCTACATATCTATTGTTGGGAAAAGTAAAATTTTGGTGGATGGGGACATAACAGATGATGGAGGCTAGAGGAGAAGTTGATAGATTGGAAAAACTCCTAAGTGAGATTTTTAGAAAAATATTTTCCAAACAGTGCAAAGTTTGTTAAGAAGGCAAATTTCTTGAGACTAGAGTTGGGTAATATGATTGTAAATGCTTATACCACTAGGTTTAAATACCTAGTCAGATTTTATACCCAAGCTACCTCTGAGACTTGGAGGTGTAGAAAATTTGAGAAGGGATTAAGGGATGAGTTGTAGAGGATAGTAGCTCCAATGTTCATCATAGAATTTCCAATCTTAGTGGAGAAGGTTATGGTTGAGAGGCTAGAAGGAGGAGACAACAAAGTGACTCGGTCTCATGGAGGGTCTTCTAATGGGAAGGCCAAGGAAAATCAACATAAACCTTATGCTAGACTACAACAAAGTAGGGGAGGAACAACTCCATCATAGCATCGAGATCAACTACTCCAACCATTCAAAATTAGGTGTAATAATTATGGAGGGCCACACTTTATGAATGATTGCTCTCATCTATCAAATGAAAAGAGGCGTTTTATATGTCATAGGTCAAGACACATAGTCAAGGACTTCCCAAGCAAGAAGAGTGCAACCACTCCAAATGGATCTCAACAGGGGAGAGTAGAGGGCAACAAACCCAAAGTATTTGCACTATCAATAATTGAAGATACAAAGTCAGGTAATCTAGTTCAAGGATATTGTGTTATAGTCAATAGGAGTTTGAGTGTTATTTGACTATGGAGTGACACACTCCTTTGTGTCAAGTAGTTGTGTGAAGGAGTTGGGACTACAAGTAATGGAATTGCAGTTTGAGTTGTTGATTTTTGTACCAGCATCCATAATGATGTTTACATTGTCCATGTGTACAGGATGTTCTGTAATTATAGAGGGATGTAGATTCAAAGTTAACTTGATATGTTTGCCTCTAAAGAATTTAGGTGTGATTTTGGGAATGAATTGATTGTCTGATAAAAACATTCTTATAGATTGTGGTAATGTAGTATTCTCAAACTAGGAGAACTAGAGATAATATCTGCTCAACAAGTGTGGGGTAAGATTAGAGATGAAACTAATTGTTTTGGAGTATTGACTAAAATTGAAGTTAGTAGTGAGGGTCAAATAAGTGACATTCAAGTTATGAAGGAGTTCTTGGATGTATTCCCAGAGGAAGTGTCGGGTTACCTCCATAGAGAGAGGTTGAATCCTCCATTGATATGGTGCCTGAGGTAGGACTAGCGTCAATGACACCTTATAGGAAAACTCTGACTAAATTAGTGGCACTAAAGCAGCATATAGAAGAACTATTAGAAAAATAATTCATCTGACCTAATGTGTCAACATGTGGAGCACCCGTGTTACTAGTTAAGAAGAAGGATGAAGGGTCTAGACTTTGTGTAGAATATAGGCAGTTGAACAAACTAACAATCAATAACAGATATCCCCTACCTAGAATTGATGATTTGATGGATCAACTACATGGAGTAATAGTATTCTCTAAGATTGACATGTGATCTAGTTATTACCAGATATTAATGAAGGTTGAATATATCTAGAAGACAACCTTTATGTCTAGATATGACCACTATGAGTATGTAATGATGTCATTTGGAGTGACGAACACCCTGACTCTATTCCTATATTACATAACTAGGATCTTTTGTCCATTATTAGACAAGTTTGTGGTAGTTTTTATATATGATATCCTTGTCTACTATAACAATTTAGTAGAGCATGAATAACACCTCAGGACAATTTTAAGTATTTTGAGAGAAAAGGAATTATATGTCATGTAAGTACAACAGTTTACATATGTGGGAACATATGCTTGCATATGTTTTTCTGAAGTCAAACTTAGATTTTTTTTTTTTTTTTACCAATATAACTATACTTTTAGATAAGAGAAGTTAGTTATTTTAATATCCTAGGTTGAAATATTTGAATGCTTGAAAATGTGTTTTAATCACATATGTTAAAAGCTTAAAGGGAATATGTTTTTGATATCTATGAGATGTTTTAGATTATAAAATGAATGACGTCTATGGTAATGAAGTTGTTGAGTTGTAATGATAGATTGTTTGGAACTAAATTGATAATCATAACATAATTACTAGTTAATGACGTGAATAATTTTAATATCCTATTGTGTAGAATACAAATTTGCGTAAGTTGGGTAAAAATTTAACTTGGTGGTTAGAACATAAGCACTATTTTTAGTGTTTGAAATCCAATTTGAGAGTTTTGGACTAACTTTCACTAATATTGTGATGCTTATAGCAATTTAAAGTTTTATATTAAACGTGAGAATTTTGTTGGTAATATGAATTACATCTTGAATGGAAATGGAATGCATTTAGTTCCATGCTTTAGTTTGGTTTATGACATGGAATATTAAGAAACTTAACCAAATTGGTTGAATAAATTAAAATTGATTGTTAATATTTTAGGCCAATTTGGGATTAATCATAGAATTTTGAGAAACTTGTGTTATGCGTAACCGTCATAAGGGTGACCATTTATTTGTAGGCGAAATTCTTTCCATTGAAAACCCGAAAGGTTTGTTTGTTGGATGATTATAAAACCGATAAGTGAAATTTATTCCAATGAAAATAGAAAAACTTTCAATGAGTAAGCAAAACATGTGACATGTGCCTAAGTCATTGAGTGAATAACATTTTTGTAAAGTAAAAACAATATTTTCTAGATTTTAAATGATATGTTTTAAATAATTATATTTTATCAACTTATTATACTTGAATATTATTATAAATGAATTGGAAATTTTAGTATTTATATTTATGTTGGAATATATGGTTTTAAATGATAAATCATGATTTGTGAAGACGTATGAGTTATGATGTAATTATGGATGTGAAGATGAGGTTGATTACCAAAGAGGTAAAAGAGTGTGCAGTTGAATTTAGATTTCGCCAGGAAATATCACGACTTTATTAATTTCTATTCTCGTATAAAGGAAGGACGTGAGAGTTTATGAATGTTTCTTTTACTTCATCTGTTTGTTTAAGTTTAAGAAAATTACATTGTCAGATGAGTTATATAAAATTTCTTCTCTTATTAATGGTGGAGGAGGATGATAGTCTAATAAGTGCATATCTCCTGAGACTAAATTTAAAATCTTTTAGAAACATCAATGTCTAGTGTGATGGGCTCAAAGATGTGTTAGATGATGTCTATGAGTTGAGTCATATAACATAGATACTTAAGTTGATAATATAATTGTTAGAATGTGTTTAATATGGACTACAGGTTAGATATAACATAAGTGTTGAAATGTTTTTGTTTAGATAGTGTTATATATATACTAACTCACATGATATTGTTCTATGTCTTAGTGAATTATGTTCTAGAGTAACATCCTCCTAAAAATAAAAGGATGAAACATACGATTTATATTTATATTTTAAAAATATAGGTAAATCTATAAGATGGAAATATTTTATATTTTAATAATGTGATTAAATAATATGATATGATATATTTCGAATTTTAAGTTAATATATCAAGTTGTTTGGATGTTACAATAATTATTAGACAATAAAATATAAGAGTAAAAAAAAGTCAAAAATAGTTTAGTTAAAGTATAAAAAAATATTATTATTAGAAAATTATTATCTTAATGTTTTTGAAGTTTATATCATGTTTAACAAAAATTTTATTTCAATTAAATATCTCTAAACTATGCTATGAATTAAATTAATTTTAGAGAAAAAGGTAACTTAATACTTTTCTCTCTATATATATGTATAATTTTTTTTCTGTATGTATTAACGTTTATATACATAATATTTAGAGGAGATTATTGAGAAGTAAAGAGTCATCTCCCTCCAAATTTTTATAATTTATTTATATATATATATATATATATATATATATATTTATAATTTTAATCCTATTAATAAATTTAATGATTATTAAATATATATTTATAATTTTGATTTCTCACTTTTTTTTATATATTTTTTTATCTGTTCATATTTATTTATTATTTATTAGTCCCAAATAATTGAAAAGATTTGCCACTCATAATATTATAACATATTATATATAATATGTTAGTTTTTCCATTAATTAAAAAAAATTACTAACATTTATATCCTAATAAAGTTAAAAAAAAAAACTCAGTCAAAATTTGAAATAATAAGGAATACAAAACCTTTAAAATAAAGTCTGAAATTAGAGTCTAGATCATATGGACTGTATGTAACATGGCATGCAATACGAGAGAGTGGGACTGCTGAATAAAAGAAAACATGCTCGACTGAATCAAATCAAACACAAACCCTTAAACTATTAGAGATATGTATCCATGAAGTGAAGATAATTGTTATAGAAAAGGAAAGTGAAGGTGAATAGAAGAGTGTGTGATGGCGAGGTTAGGAGATGGTTGCGTCACTGAGCACCTGAGAGGGACAAGTGGGACTGATTCCTCTGTTGGCTAAGTGTTGGGGGTGATGGAAACATTACTCTCAAAGAGGGTTCCAATGCCATATCCAATTTCTGCATCATTAGCTGTAAAGGTCATCTTCCATATCTCTCTCTATATATAGATTCACATAAAGTAATGTAATGGAGAATATATTTTGATTTTGGAATGATAGTCTCCAATCAAAATTTTATGCTGGTTACAAGATAGAGTTTAATAGTTATATTTTCAATTACTTAATTAGCACTATAATAAAATAGTTTTTTTTTTTAATGTTATTTTGAGTTTATTGAGAGAATAAATTTATGTTAGATGTAAAAATATTAAAATTTATGTTGATTATTATTATTTCTAATTTAAAGTTATGTTTGTATTTTTAGATGATTCATTTTCTCTCTTTTATCAACCATTTTATGAGATTTGTAATTACTAATTACATTTTTTAGTTTGTCCTTAGTTTTTTTAGTTTTTTTTTCTTCGTATACGGTGTCTTTGTGATTATTATTTTTTTCTTTGTCTTTGACATTTAAGAGACGTCTAACAGTAATATTTCAATGAAAATATTTATGTATTATCGTAATTAAAATCTTAAAAAATAATCATGATTTCAATTTTAATATAAAATATTAACCTTAATTAGATAATAAACGCCCAAAATATTTTAACCTAGTTAGAGAAAAACGTTTAGAACCACAAATGAATAATAATGATGTTGCGGTCTCTTATCGTGATTAAAAAATGTTTTTAAAGGTGTTTCACATTGGTTATTTCTTAAAAAAAAAACCTTAGACATAAAAAAAATAAAAATCAAACTCATATAAAAACTTTTTTTTTTACTATGAATAATGTGAGGTCAATTATATATTAATATGAATGATAAAAATCAACTTAGGTAAAAAAATTGATTAGTATAGATATAAATTTTACATGGAAAAAATAAAAAAGTTATTATACTTAATTATAATTAGACGTTTATCAAATGTTTTTATAGTCTTTAAATTTATTTGATTTTTATTATGTTATTGTGAAGATGGATTCTATCATAAGTTAGTTTTTATTTATGAACTTTTTTTAGATAATTCTTTTATAAATTATTATAATTCTAGTCAATTTTCCAATGAATTTGATTTTAACATTTTAGTTGTTAATACATCATATTAAACTAATAGTTATTATTATTATTATTATTTATTATTATTATTATCGTGATAATAATTACCATTGTTGTCATTAAAATCTCTATTATATTCATTATTTTCATTACTAACTATAATTATTATTATATTCATATGACATATAATAATGATCGCATTAAATGTTATACAAAATTAATATTTATTTCATTCCTATTTTATTATATTTTTATCAATATTATATTCTGTCTTTTCCCTAATAAAACCAGCCTTAGATTTCTCCTTAATTTCTGAATATAAACCATTATTATAACAAAAGATAATTCATACATTGAGAATATTTAATTAAAGTGCATTACAAAGCAACTTGCATAGCAGAGTAAAGCTTCTTAAGATGCTATAACTTTTTTTTTTTACAATTGTTTTTCGATTCCACGTTATATAATAAATGTTTATAATATATGATAAATAAATATTAAATATCAATTAACAAAATAAATATGTATTAACATTGATTGATATATTAGTTATCAGAAAATAATTTTGACCATTTGAACTTATAGAACACCCACCCCATATTTTTCAATCAATTAGATCCATTATTCCATTCTCCAACAACAAACTAACAGTTGCAATCAGGCAAGACAATAATCAAAATTATGGATATGAATTATAACTTCGACATGACATGATATTCATATTTCCTTTTAATATAATTCACCATGTTATTAGTATGAAAAACACTAGTGGTAGTTGAAATTAAAATCTTAAGTAATGGATTATTTCTTATAATCTTAATTAATACAATTGTTTCTTAAAACTACCATAAAATAAATTTGCATGGTCTAGATTCAATTTAACACTATATTTATAAAATTTATATTAAAACAATAATTTATTTAATAAGATTCTCCACGACCTAATAAAAACCTAGGAAAACTAAGATGCTATAAAATTACACATTCCGGTTCCAACCACGCCACGTCACGCAAGTGTCGGCGAGAGAACGAGTAAATGTCAAAACCGTAAATAATCCCAAAACCAATGGCAAAACGCTAACTACATACTCACCTCTCATATAAATACCCAACGTGGCTCTTGCCAATCTAATAACTTCCCGCGGCATCAAACGCGGCTTCGCCATTCTCTCTCCAAACACAAAACCTTTCATATATTTATTTATTTTTATCACAAAAACTTAAACAAATCAAATTTTCATTTTCTTTTCTCGCTCCTCATTCTCGGAAAAATTGTCGCAAGAAAATCAAAATAGAAAAACAAAAGAAAAATTCCGAACCCGTGAACTCTTTCTCCTACTCTTCAAATGCAATTTATCTCTCTCCCTGTCTAACACACACATACACACTTTCGCTACCACACAAGCACGGACAGGAACACTCTCTCTCTTTGAGTGAAGTAATGGAGCTTCAGATCTCGCGGTGAATCGCCGATCCGCCAGAGAGAGGAGTTGGATTGATTCATGGAAGCGCGGAGATGAAGTTCTACATATCAACGAAGGGGATAAGGAGAGTGACGATATCGAACGGCGACGGAAAAGGATCGGCGAAGACGACGACGGCAGGGACCGGCGCCGGTTCCGGTCGCCGGATTTCGGCTCGGACGGTGTTTCCGGCGGTGGTGGTACTCGGGATCGTGCTACCGTTTCTGTTCGTGAGGATCGCGATCTTGATGCTGGAATCTGCTGCGGCGTGTTCCTCATTGGGTAATCTATTCTCTAGCCTTTTCACTTTCTTCTTTTGCTTTTTCATTTTGGTTACTCTCGGAGTTTCACACTCTCACTCCAGTAACTTTTTTGCGCTCTGTGAACGAACCACTGAATTTTTAATTATGTTTATTTGAAGAAGTAATTGCTGTTCCAAACACGGTTTATTGTCTTTAAATATTTAATTAAAGAAAATAGTATATGCATTCTGGCATAAGATCAATAATTATTTAAGAAAATTTCATTGATTTTTATTTTAGTTTTCTTAAAATTTATGCTAATAATAATTTCTGATTTTACTGAGGGAACTTAAAATATTAGCTATTTACTGGTTTATATGATAATTATCTTAAAATTTATGCCAATCATTATTTCTGATTTTACTGAGTGAGCATACAAGGTAAGCTCTTTAATATGCACTAATGTCACATTTATTTTTGGATTTTTTTCATCCTTAGTTAATAGAGTATAATAAGAGTCGTTAATTAAAAATTAATAATTATGATAATACATCTTGATTTTATTACAACTTTAAATAATTCATTTCCTCATTAATTAAAAATCAATTTATAGTATAGTTTTTATTAAATATATTAAAATTAAAGAAAGTTGTAAGGATGATATTTCTTTAAAAATTGTCATTATTACTCAGATAATTTATAGTTCTCGTTTTTTTAATTAAATTTTATAAATTTTCTCTGAATGAATGATTTATTGAAATAAGATGGATAGTAGTTATACTGAGACTAAAATGAGACTTAGTATTTTTATTTAAATTTTATTTTTATCCCTTGTTATCTATCATTTTTAAGTTCAACAAAAGGATATAAATATAATGAAAGAATGCTAAATTAATTTATTGGTTTCAGAATTAAAATATTTCACTCCTAATTTTTATATAAATAATAACTATTGAAAAATAAATAAATTTTTGTGTGAATGTACTTTTTTTTTTTTTATGAAACATAATTTTAAACTTGAAATATAAAAAATGGATGATATTGTAAGATAATGTTAACTATCTTTTCAAAATAAGTAAATAAAAGTATATTAAATTTAATTTAGAATATATTGTATTTTATAATTTGATCTATTGAAATTGTAAAATATATCCTTACATTCTATTTTATATATATGTTTATTTTGAAACAATATGTAATCGAAATGATCACTTTTGGGTGGAATTTCTTCTGTTACAAAATTTCTCCTTCTGATAAGTTGAAATTTTCTTTATTGAAGCTTATTAAAGCCAGGGAATTTATTTTTGAAGAATTGTTTTTTTACTGATTTTCATTTTCAGAAATGATGCTTGTTTCAGATTCGTAATTACAAAATGTCAGAAAATTATATTATAGAAAAAATTAAATTAAATTATTGTGAAGTTTAATGAGAGTATATGGATGAAAATGATTGTTGCAGAATGTGCTGGGTGGAGGTTTTTCGGTGGGGTTGACACGTCACTGGTAAGTATTTTATTTACCAAATTGCCCTTACGTAGTCTCTCTATTTTAACAAGTTTTAAATATTTTTCTTCCTTTTTCAATTTCCTCCTTCAGAAAGTAATTAGCCAATTCTATTTACTCGACCACTTGCCCCTTTAATTAACTCGAGTTAATAATTAGAAAAATAAACTTATTGAAATTAGGATTTTTAAATATTATTTTAAGTTAATAAGCACATCTTGACGTGGAAAGAGACCAACTACAGTTTTCAGGTATACTATTATTTATCATTATACCTAGTGAATGGTCACGTAGTTCTCTCACCTATTAAATTCATCAAACTAATATTCTCATTAAACCTTTTTTGGTTAAGAAAAAAAGTCAAATACCTTTTCGCAAATGTAGTGGGTACAGTCTGGTCTGATCTGATCTGAAAAAAAGTGATCCATACATAATTAATTTATATATTAAAGAACTGCAAACAGAGTAAAGAACCTTGACATTTTCACAAAACTAGTATCAGTCTATTATATCATTTATTATTGTTAAACTTAAAGTATTCTCAGCATTTTGGTTGGGAGATAAATCCAATATTTAAAGAAACTAAAACCTTAAAATTATGTTATTTAATTTTTAGGTTGCATTACCTGATTAATCTCTAGGCTCTAGTTTACTTTGTACTTTATTTTATTATCTTATAATAATCAAATGTCATTTAAAAGGCTCTAGGTGTCTATTTGTAAATTGTTTATTATAGAATTTTATTATTAATTTTAGAGATAAAATTGCTTTGCATAAGTTTTTTTATTTTTAATTTAGAAATACTATTAGAGTTTAATGTACCTTGTGTCAGTGACACTGTAAAAAATTTTACACTGTCAATGGATTAAAAATTATCCTAAATATGTTTTTAAATAATTATTTTAAAAAGTCAATAATCTTACTATACACGGCAATATATGATTGAGAGGTAATTTATAATTAAATAGTAGTATTAAAAGACTTTTAGATCATCATTATCGTTATATTGTAATCAAATTCATGATATTATTCTCAATTTTACTTTTAAATCAACTCACCTTGAATTCTATAAATGATTTCTATTTCTAATTTAACCTAGTGCATTTCATTTTATCTATTCTGTTATGCGCCATTGATGAAGTTAATGAGACTTCTTTTTTTATTTATTTTATCTTTATGTTTCAATTATTGAATTTACAATCATCTAGGGTGTCTTTCTCTGACCTTGCAATAAGAGTTTCTAATAGATGAAAGATAAATGTGATGTTCTTTTGGATTTGGCTCTTAAATGAAATGTGTGAAGGCAGAAAGTAAACATATATTATATTAATTTGAAGTAGAAATACACTATCTTCTGATCATGGAAAGGATTTTAACACTATGATCCCAGGATTAATCCAAAAATAGAACAGTTCTAGTCCTTGCTTAAGGTTTCATAGAAAAAAGTTATTTAGTATTAGTATGAATACAACTTTTATATTAACTCGTCTAGTACATTGATAAATAACTTCCACGGAGATCTTTCATTTTTAATACAAAGGGAGATCTTGTACAGACGATATGTTACCCTAAGATATGAGAGGATTAAAAATGTCCATGCCATGCCCTAACGTTGCATGAGGAAAAAACCAATTTCTTTGTAAGGCCCTTATGTTCTATTGCTTTTATTAGATTAAAAGAAGCCTTTTAAAGTTTGTTTTAGGTAAAAAAAAAAATATCTTGACAGACCCTACGTATATAATCCAATCTCAAATTAGTCGTGCACAGTGTTATTTTGTTTTTATAATAATTATTTATAACCTAATAACAATAATTTCTTTATTTTTGACAAGAACAAAAATAATTTCTTATTGTTTAATAATTTTTCTAGATAAAAGTTCAACTAGTTTCTTTTGGCATTCATGCCAGCAACAAGTTTTAACTTTAGGATTCCCAGCACCTTTAAATTTGGAGAAAATTTATATATTAATGTTGTTTTACAATTATATTTAGAATTTTATTTTTTTAAATTTATTTTGCTAATACGTAAGGTATTTAATGAAAAGAATAAATGTTTTTTTTATCACTGTGCAGTCTGTCAAATTTTATTTTGGTCTTTATTTATACCTATAAATTGATTGATTAGTCCTCCAATTTATAAAAATGTTATTTTAATATTTTATATTTAAATTTAATATTTAATTATAATTTTTAAATTTAACAGAATTGATAAAATGATTAAATAAAATATTTTTTATTGTTATAAAGTTGATAAAATGATTAAATTTGCATACTTTTAATAAGGAATAATTAATCAGTTTAAAATATTAAAAATTAAAATCAAGGTTAAGCCATCTAGAGAATAAAAACATATTTAATCCTTAATGAAATGCATACTATCAAAGGTGAAATTTTAATTATAATTGGATATCCTAACTTACTGAATGAAAGTTTTGTCCTTCGAATTTGTGCAAGGAATTGTGATTAACACAGAAATCAACAGAGTTTATATGTCCATTTGAGATTTACTATTGATCTTAAAACATGAGATTTTATTAAATTATATGGGCCACACAATCTAAGTAAATATAATTGGATCACCGTGAATTATTCCATTACTAAAAGAGCTTTGTCTATCTGTCACCAACTGGGACAAACAATCCACCCCTCAAATGGATCATCTATGCAGACGAATTTTGCTGTATTAGATACTATGTTCTTTCCTTTCCATTCACTTGTCATGATCAATGAGATAGTTATATTTCAACTTTTAAAATCTCCACTTCAAAAGGAGAAGAATGGATATCGAGATAACCACAAAATCCAATTCTAAATCAATCATATTTTTGGGTTTCATTTTCTGTGATTTTTTTTTCCTTATAACATCTACCTCTTAAATTATTTAAACAATTATTAGGTAAACAAGTTTTTAGACAAAATAAAAAATAAAAAATTGATACTGTATTATTAAAATTGATTGACAGTGACCATTACTTCTTGAAAAGATCCATGATGTATCAACAGCGTAATTGAAATAGATATAAATTTAGAACAGTATCTCACGATAGAACATGTTTTGCCTTATAAAAAATAAAAATCCTACAAATTCGGCATTTGTCGTACTTTCACAAGTTGCATTCCTGCTAACTGTAGGGCACGACGGGAATGAATGACCATGCCACTTGTAGTGTAACTGTTTCTTCCCCTTCTACCTTTTTTCTGCTGGTTGCTAGCTGCACAACCTTTTTCACTGCTTTCGATGTCTTTATGGTCTCTGTTCTTTTTATGAAATCATCAAACTGGCTATTTGATAAAACATTAGATCAACATTTTTTATTGGAACACACGCTTTAATAAAAATTTATAATTAAGACTAATTTATCTTTAAAGCAAACAACTTTTAAACTATTATTATTTTCATATAAGTTTGGTTTGCGCTACCCTGTAATCTGCACCGCCGTCTCTACTCTAGACACTGACCACCCTTTTAATTTTTAGAAATGAAATTGATAATTGATGATCTGTTTTTCACTATGGTACTGCATGTCCTTGAAGGAACTCAGAGATGAGCTGACAAGAGCGCTAATGGAGGCAAATGACGGAAATGTTAACGAGGGAGCAGGGTCATTCAATGAACTTGTGAAAGAGATGACCTCAAAGCAAGACATTAAGGCTTTTGCCTTCAAGACCAAATCCATGGTATATAAATATTTTACTTCCTTGGCTTTTACTGGTCACTCTTTATGATGATGATGATGATCTTCATGTTTCGTTTTCCTAGTGATTCCTTTTTTGTTTCCTTATGATGTTGATTTACAAGCATGCGCCGTATATAGTAAATTATTGTCCTGACATACCTATTAGCTATTGGTCGGGTCAGTGTGTACATTTTAGGTGTGAAAATCAGGAGAAGCCAATGCAACTAACTGATAAATATAGTAACATACCATAGTCGCGCATCAAAAGACAGAACACTTGCAAAATTAAACTAAAGACAACAAAAAGATTATACAACTTGCACAACTGAACGTTGAGTGGCATATAATATTCCAATTGTATGGCTATAGAGAACATGGTCTATAGATCAGGAACGTGGAATGAAAATTTTAACGTAACCTGAAATTTACTGCGTTGTACAAGCTTAAAGGATTGATTATTCATATTCCACTTTTAATTCTATATATTTATGGCAGTCGCTGAAAGGCTCTAAAGCGGCCCAGATAAAATGTAGGCTAAGATGCATGAAATCACCTTCAACTACAGGTCAATTTCGGAGACTCACGTGGTTCAAAACACAATTAACTCATCTTCTTCAACTTATCAAACCGTGCATATTATAACCTCTTTATCAGGGGATTTCTGCACTTGGACAGGGAGATAATTTTACTCTACGTTCAACAACGTGGAAAGTTTAGGAAGTTGAGTTGTTGTGGTGTTTTGAATTGCAGAAGGCTTTCGAAAAACAACCTTGTTGGAGGGCTTCCTATGGTATCATGGTACATGCATTCTTTTACATGGGTTGCATCATTGAATTTTTTGTCAATGAAACATAGGTTCTTGTCAGCTACAAATGTTCAATTCAGCAAATACAATTGTGAAGTTTTAACTCTCTCACAAAATATGCAATTTCTTCTGTTAATATTCAGCTATCACAGTTGGAACGCAAGGTGCAATTAGCAAGACAGCAGGAGTCAGTTTATTGGCATCTAGCTTCTCATGGTGTTCCCAAAAGTCTACATTGTCTGTGTCTAAAGTTGGCTGAAGAATACGCTGTAAATGCTATGGCCAGATCTCGTCTACCCTCTCCTGAATTTGTATCCCGTCTCGCTGATCCCAAGTTTCACCACCTAGGTCTCCTAACTGACAATGTCCTTGCTGCATCTGTTGTTGTAACCTCTACTGTTGAAAGTTCAATCAACCCAGAAAAATTAGTTTTTCACATTGTTACTGACAAAAAAACTTATGCTCCCATGCATGCTTGGTTTGCCACCAATTCTATTAAATCAGCAGTCGTGGAAGTTAGGGGATTGCACCAATATGATTGGTCTGAAGAAGTGAATGCTGGTGTTAAAGAGATGCTGGAAACTAATCACTTAATTTGGAAGCAACACTATAACAAGGAAAAGGACCTCCACTATACTCAAGAATATAGCAGTTATTTGCAAGCTTTAAGACCCAGCAGCCTATCCTTGATGAATCAACTCCGCATTTATGCGCCTGAGGTAATTAGTTATTTTTGGTAGCCCTCTGATTGAGCAATAACTGATAAAAAGTCTAAATGCTTAGCGATGATTGTTTCATCATCTGATTTTTGTGGACCACAACAGCTGTTTCCAGATCTCAAAAAGATAGTATTCTTGGATGATGATGTTGTAGTCCAACATGACATATCTTCTTTGTGGGAACTAGATCTTAATGGCAAAGTCATTGGTTCTGTATTCAAGTCATGGTGTGGAGACAGCTACTGCCCTGGAAGTAAATACATGAACTACTTGAACTTTTCACATCCTCTCGTATCATCAAAATTCAACGGTGATCAGTGTGCATGGCTCTTTGGCATGAATATATTTGATCTTGAAGCTTGGAGGAGAACAAACATAACGGAGACCTACCTTCAATGGTTGAAACTTGTAAGTGTGCGTTGACTTAATGCGTAGACAGGGTTTAAATTTTCATATTTTTCATCAAAGTGCATCTCTCTTGATGAAAATATGAGTGACTTGAAATGTTCATACGATGTTTTGTTATTTTGTACTATGTTAAGCAATATTTAATGGGTCTTGGGCACTGCATTACATTCTGCGTACATATCTAGCATCATTCAGAACTGCTTTATGCTTTTAAAGCCATACAGGGGAGGTAATTCTGCACTGTCACATAATCAACAAAAAAAAAGGGCATGGTATACTTAGACCATATTTATATAAACTTCTTCATAAGCAAGCACATGTAGGAAAAGGAGATGAAGGTAAGATGAATCGAGCTTCTATGCATTTAAATTTTTCAGAAACTCTCATTTGACTTTTTCCAAAGTTTAAACATTTGGAGTTGATATAGATTAGGTTATGAGAAAAACTCAATTCAATTTCTTATTCTCTTCTCTTATAAGTGTTTGTGGAAAATTTTATCCTACTCATTTATATAATAGTTTTCTTCAATTCATCATACCAATAAACGTCTATACTTATCTGATCTCACAGAACCTCAAGTCTGGGACGACATTGTGGAATCCAGGAGTGCTTCCACCTGCCTTGATTGCATTTGAGGGACAAGTGCATCCTATAAATTCATCAATGCTTGTGTCTGATTTAGGTTATCGCTATCAATCAGCGGAAATGGGAAAAGAGAAATTGGAAGCTGCGCCTATTATTCATTTCAGTGGCCCTGCAAAGCCATGGCTTGAAATTGGTTTCCCAGAGGTTCGAAGTTTATGGAGTAGACACGTAAATATCTCTAATAAGTTTATTAGGAGATGTAGAATTACAGGGTGAAGGAACGAAGTTTTTTCACCTCCAATATTTATTGAGATTGAACCAGTGATACCGTATGGGGATTTCAGAGGGAAGAAGGTTCTGCTTTCAGTCTCTGACTCATACGCTCTGCACAGTTTGATATCAGTTACGCCACGCCATGTCCATATAAATATAGTAAATAGATGAAGTTACCATGCTACACCCTACTAGAATCAGTATCTGTGGCTAAGAAAGTTATTAGCATCATTAATCTAGGTGCCTGACAATACTGTAAATTTCTTTATCAAAATTACTTTTTCAAGCGGAGAAATTGCTTGCATGATTTCAACATTTAGATGCTTCTCTAGTCTTGGTAAGTAAAACTCTCTCAGATAATCACTTACCTAGCATGTTTGGAAATACGTTCACCACCCAACAAATCACGTCAAATGGGTCTCACGAGTGAAAGTTATAACTTAGTGCTTCTACTCAGACGTGAAAATCCATGTTCAAGATCAGTGACCACACATGCTTATTCTAGGAGCCAGTGAAATTGGTTTGTGCATTGCTTTACATCACTTTCACTTGTTATGATTTCTTAAACACTTCTAATTAATTCACGTATCATCTAAAATTAACTTATTATTATAATCCAAAATTATCTTTTGCACAAAGTAAAAATAAGAATTTAAAAAAGTTATAATTTTTATTATAAATTAATTTTAATTTATGAAAACGTTTATTTTATTTGTTGTCAGTATTTTCCTCTTTTGAAAGTGTTAGCAGTTTTTGCAAATACCCTGTTTCATATTTTATGTACAAGGAGCTCGTAATACAACGGTCAAAATAGGACAAGTTTAGCATATGTGCGGACACCAGATGCAGGTGTTGTAAAAATCAAAGGCAGTGTTGAACTCAACTTATTTTGAAGAAAAAAACAATATGTTGACTCACTAAAAACAATATGTTGACTCTTTCATTGTTTGCCTATGTAGTGTTCTGGCATTTAATGTGGTCCATGGCATCTGCCCTTGTGCAGTTGATCACAATGAATGAATGAATTGGCTGTGGAATATTATGTAGCCAAAAGTGTTGATTATTGGTACATTGCTTAAAGGTCCCAAGCACAATTTATTGATTTGTTCACCCTTGTATATTACAAAGGTTTTACATTGGGGTCGTGTGAACCTCTCAACAATGGGGCTACAATTTCCTCTTGATTACAAGCTAGACAAATAAAATGATCCGGCAACTACATATGTGCCAACTTTGATCTCTACTGCAAGAAGTGAAGAACTTGAGAAAGCGACATTAAGATCTCTCAGTTTGGGATCACAGTTTGTAAATTGAGTAAATCATCAATTTCATTCTTCAATTATCATTTCTCTTTCTTAAATAATTTCCAAAATAAACAAACTTATGGTAGTAATCTTGAGAATATTTGAAATTAAATTAAATATCCCTTCAACTATTAAAAAATTCATCAAGTCCATCCGTCCCTAAATTTTATTAAAATATATTAACAGATGCACTAAAGTATTATTTCATAAAACTTCTTTTTTAAGAAAGTTTAGCTTTATAACTGACAAACTAAAAAATAAAAAAGATAATTCTCACTTGCCTAAAAACATGGTAATAGAGAAATCAAATTTTAAACTGCAACAAATAAATAAAACCTATATATATATATATATATATATATATATATATATATATTTTAATTTATTTATTTTTTTATCAATATTAAAATAAATCATTAAATATATTAAAATAATAAAAGATTATATATTCTCCAATCTTTTTCATTTTTTTTTCCATTATTTACTTGCACTAACCATTTACCACCTTAATCTTGTTAGTTATATAATTAGATTATTGAAAAAAAAATTAATATAGATACACAAAATGACAGCACAAATGAAAAATAACGAAAATATAAATTTATGTAGTTTGAAATCTCTTATCTATGCTTACTAAATTCATATCAAGATATTTTACGGAATCACAATATATCACAAATTTTGTATACAAATTTGGAAAAAAAAAAAAAACTTTTCCTAAGACCACTCCATTTTTATCACTTTGGATGATGAACTCACTCCGTAGAGGGTTTCTTTGTTATTCATTTGTATAACAAAAGTCCATTCCTCCTTAGGGTTTCTTTGTATGAACCTTTTTTTATGCACTTCTATGAGAGATAATAAAATTTAGCTTTTATATTTTACATAAATTAAAATTAACTTATGCATAAACTATTTTATAGAATTTCATAAAATTTGTTTAAATTTTTATTTTTAATTTCTGCATAAATTAATTTTAGCTTATGAAAAAACCTCATTTTATTTTCTTTTTCTTATATTTCTCTGAGGATTATCTAAATAGATTCTTAATAAACATTAATAAATATACCACTTTTTCATTTATCTCTTAAAACAATGAAGATCTCTGTTCATAATATAGTCTATATTAGAGATATATGATTATAGGATCTATCCAACTAGGAGTACAAATGATATTTAATCATAGAATATCTCTCCATAGATTATATCAGAAAGATCTAAGAAAATGATTCAATAAATTGGATCATAAAAATAAAACATAAAATATGGGAATAAAGGAAAAAAAAAAAAGGGTTGAAAACCCACATTTAAAACAATGAATAATTTTAAAAATAAACCATAAAAATGATAGAAATCAACAAGGTATATGATAAATTATAATTAGAATTACAAAAGGAAATAAGATCTAAGATATTTGAGGGATAGAATAAGATCGTAAGGAGATACTCAATAATAAATTTACTATGTAAAAATAAGTTTATATATATATATATATATATATATATATATATATATATATATATAGAGAGAGAGAGAGAGAGAGAGAGAGAGAGAGAGAGAGAGAGAGAGAGAGAGAAACGAGAACGAAGATAAGACTTATTTACAATTATCTAAATGTAACTATTCTAATACAAAAATCAATGAGAAGTTATTTCTTGTGGGAATCCCCGCAAACTAATTGTGGGTAATTGATGAACATTTAGTTTGGGTCAGAAGCGCATAAAGGTAGCACTTGAGGTAGCCTTGGTTAGAAGATCAACTACTTGGAATTGTGAGGGTATGTGCTTGACAATTATTTCTCCATTTGCAGCCTTTTCACGAACAAACCAAAGGTCCAATTCAAAATGTTTTGATTTAGAATGCAGAACTGGATTAGTTGTTATCATGACTACACCTTGATTAACACACCATAGTAAAAGAGACTTTTTTGGATGACATGCAATTCAGTAAGAAGGGACTTACTTTATCCATTTGATTTAGAGAAGCTAGACTTCTGAATTCTGCTTCAGTGCTAGACCGAGATACTGAATGTTGCTTCCTCGCAAACCATGAAACAAGGTTATTACCCAGGTAAACACAAAAGGTTGAGGTGGACCGCATATCAAAAGAGTTGCAGACCCAATATGAATCACTATAGTCAGTGATGAAAAGACTCTGTGAAGGATAAAAAACTAAGCCATGATCAATAGTACCATTTAGATATTGCAGAACACGTTTTGCAGCTTTCCAATAGTTTCAACAGGGCTATGCATAAATTGACATAATTTGTTGATTGCATAAGCTATGTTTAGACGTGTTATTATGGCATACTATAATGCGCCAACCATAGATCTGTATAAAGTTGGATTAGAGAAGAAATCAATGTCATCTATGTGTAGTTTCATACCATGGGTGAGAGGAGTCTTTATGGGTTTTGCATTATGCATGCTGACTTTGGAAGGAGATAAGTTATGTATTTGGATTGAGAGAATATAAGAGCACCAATGATAGTGTGTTTGTCTTCGATGCCTAAGAAGATATATAAGGCACCAAGGTCTTTGAAAGTATACAAATTATTGAGTTTCAAAATTATCGATTGGATTTCAAAGTATAAGGTACCTGTTATTAGGATCTCATGAACATATACTAGAATATAGGTGATGAACTTGGGTGTAGCATGCATAAAAAGAGATATATCATATCTAGCAGGCTTAAGACTGAAGAAAATTAAATTGGATGCAAGCTTGGAAAACCAAGCTCTTGTGTCTGCTTGAGCCTAAAGAAATATTTTTTCAATTTCTAAACAAGATGAGGATTAGTATAGATGAAGTCCTCTTGATGCCGCATATATACTTCTCAAAGTAATGAGGGGGAGATTGATGGAAATGTCCCTACATTCCCAATAGATGATTTTGATGATGATTCAAGTCAACACCATTCAAGATGAATTAAGGACAAACTGAATTTATTACGTTGGTGAAAATGTGAAACATTTCCCTACATGCCAAAGATATGTTTTTGATAAAGATAATGATTCAAGCAAACTCAAGATGATTCCTGAAGACTAGATAGAGTCTTAGAATGCTGGATATGGAGGTACAAGTTGATGAAGTAATATTATGCATAAGCCTCCAAAGCACAAGTGTGATAAAATTCATAACATGATATTTTTCTCTGTCATAATCAATTATGATGCATCGAAATGGAAAAATGATTTTCTCTGTCATAATTGATTATACTCGGTAATATAATCAATTATGGTAATTCAAATTTGAAAAATATATTCGTTTTAAAGAAAATTTTTTTTTAATACATCCTGATTTTCTCTATGATATTATTAATGTTCAACGGCCATTTTCTGATGCTATTTTTCTATTTAATTAATTTTTGATGAAAAATAAAAAACACGCAATTACAGAATTCGAAAATACAATTTACATTCAATCAGTTTTGAGAAAAGAATTTTGAGCAAGGCAACAAAGATATTTTACACCTTTTGAGAAAACCCTCTTCTCTACTGCCTTCTGTGCTTTCATTGTTAATCACACTTGTTCTTGGAGATTGACATTCTACAGGCTTCTACAATTTGTTGTCTCCATTACCCAGGTGTGTCTGTTCTTATTTTTTATTTCCTTCATGCTTTTTGTATTGGTGAAAAGGAAGTGTTTTTTTCCTAGTGTGATTCTAGGGAGGTGTTCATCTTTAGTAGGATTCTAAAGAGGTGTTTTCATCCTTTGATTTGTTCAGAGGAGGTGTTCATCCCTAGTGGAATTCTAGGGAGGTGTTCATCCTTAGTGGATTTCTAAAGAGGTGATTGT